TGTGACCAGAAATTTGAGGGTGTCCAAGAAAAAAATTGTCACAAGTGACCAGGAATTAAAAAAAAAAATATGAATAAAAATGTTGGAACGCATTTGGATTTTTCAATCGAGTAACAATGTTTTCTTTACCAGTTTCGTACCAAATCATCATAAAATAATTCATCCAGTAATTGTTTACCACATCATCAGAATTTTCTTTTCCTTAGAAGATAATTTCAAGGTTGCCAATAAATTGCAATTTTGCAATGCAAATTAATAACCACATTATTACATACTTATTGATTAATTTGATTATTTAATTTATAATTGAAGTGTCGCAAATGACAAAGGACGATTTGATCAGTTGTAGATGATGATTTGACATCAGAAGTTCTAAGAGATTGTTGATAGTGATTTTTTTTTAAAGAAATTTTTGATATGATGGATTATTTGATGAGGTTGACCTCAATGTAAGTACAATTAATTGTTTTGGATTCTGGCTTAGTGGTTTTGGTAAAATTTTTGCAGATTTTCTAGATGATGATGTGTTTACATCTAGTTTTGCAAAAAAATGATCCCATCGATTTTGATTGTCTGATCAAAAGTATGAAAAATATTTTAATATTCAACTTATTGACTTCTTCAAGATTTTTACATTTTGGTAGTTGCTACAGTTTTGACCTTACAAATTGCCTTAAAATATTTTTAGATTTTATCAATAATATGCCAGAAAAGACAACGGGTATTCAAACTTGACTATCTTAGATAAATAGGAATCTTTTTTTTAAATCTGAGAGATTTTTCTATTGTTTCCAGTGACCATTTTCATTCTCTGTATTTAGTGACAATTTACGAGTATACCGAGTTGCTGTAGAAACTTTTTTTGTTAGACAATATTTCTCAGTATTCAATTTTTCACAAATTTTTCTAACACACCATCCATATCAATCGAATGGTTCCAAAGTTATAGAGAAAATATAGAAAGAGTGAATATTGTAGGTAAATTTTATAGTTACATGTTTAATGTAAATTTTAGAGAATATCGATTTGCTTTAGGGCATCACTATGTATAATAGTGATATTCATAAAATATTATATGTTATTTAATTTTGCATAAATTTGTCGAATATTGTATTTAAATTAGATGAACGGTATAAAAATTACAAGAGATATAATAACAAAATGCACCTACATAAAACTTCAATTTACTAACTCTATTGTAGTCAGTATTCAGATGCAATTTTAAAGTATATCGAGTCGCTGTAGGGTTTTATAACGTTTGACATTAATTTAAATCTGCATAAATTCGCCAAAAACGCCATTGACAAAAATCAATAATTATAGAGATATAACAAACAAATGCACATACGTGAATTTACAATTTACTAATTATATTGTAGTCTGTACTCAAGGCCAAATTTAAAGCATACTGAGTTAATGTAGGGCATTATGATATTAGACAAAATCACAGATTGTTCAATTTAGAACAAATTCCTCTAACATACCATTCATATAAATCAAATATTTTTAAATTATATAATAAATAAATGCACATAGCTTCAATGCTTAAAACAAATAAATGCATGAAACTTCGATTTACAATTATTCTGTAGTCGCGATTTTAAGGTATACCGAGTTGCTGTAAATTATTATAATATTAGACAAAATTACAGATAATTCAATTTAAAACATAACCATACCATTAACATAAATTAAATATTTTCAAAGTTACAAGAGATAATAAATAAATGCACATTAACAAGTTTCTTCATATTCACAATTTATCTGCAGCCTATTTTCGGATGCGATTTTAAAGTATATCGAGTTGCTGTAGAGCATTATGATATTAGACAAAATTACACTTTAATCAATTTAGAACAAATTTCTCTAATAAATCATTCACATAAACCGAGTGAGTTAGAAGTTACCAGAGATACAATAAAGAAATGCACATTACTTAAATGCTTAAAACACACAGTTTTCTAAGTAGAAATTATTGTATACAAATAGTCTGTATTTAGGGGCAATTTTAAAGCATACCGAGTTGCTGTAGGGCATTATCACATTAGACAAAATTACAGGTTGTACTGTTATAAACAAATACCTCGAAGATACCATTTATATAAATTTAGTATTTTAGAAGTTACAAATTTTTTAATACATAAATGCACATGAATCAAATTATGCATTCTTCTAGTATAAATTATATATGTATATATATATATATATATATATATATATAGGGTGGTCCTTGAAATGGTCATTTTCGAATTTCCTTGCTCCCAGGGGCTCAAATGGTTCCAAATTGATAAAAAACAATTCTCTGAAAGTTTTAGCTCTTAATATTAACGTTTAGATAGAGCGCAATTCAATCAAAGTTTTGTATGGAAATAGCATAGAAAAATTCTCAAAAATTGTAAATATGCTTTTCAGATGTAATTTAGCGAACAAATGAATGAATAAAACTCATTCATTTGTCGCTAAGTTGTACCTAACACATTTTTTTTAAATTTTCAAAATTTTTCCATGCTCTTTCCATACAAACTTTGATTGAATTGCGCTCTATCTAAACGTTAATATTAAGAGCTGAAACTTTCAGAGAATTGTTTTTTATCAATTTGGAACCATTTGAGCCCCTGGGAGCAAGGAAATTCGAAAATGACCATTTTAAGGACCACCCTAATATATATATATATATATATATATATATATATATACGTAAATATATATACAAATTTCGATATCATTACACCACCTTGTTTATACCACAATAATTTTTGGCAATGTCACACAGATACAAAAATAGCTCTCCTCAAAATCTTCTATTGAAACAATGAAATACTTGATAGCTAGTTAGTTAGCTAGTTATTAGCTCAGATAGCTCTTATAAAAAAAATTACTTAGCTAATTTAAAATTAAAATCACAAAAAATGGTAATTGTGTATAGATAAAATAATGTGAAATTAAATTACTATGATAAAAAGTGTGAAGTGATTTATACCAAAAAAAACAGGAAGAAATTTGGTGTAAAATCAATATCAAAGTTGATCAAAAAGTTATGTCTGTACCAAAACTAAAATTTGGAAATTTTCAATTTATTCCATAAATCAACATTAACAAAATCTACTACCCCCAAGTTGACCAAAACCATCAACTATCAAAACAAGGAAAATTTCACCATCTAAAAACTATTCCATCCCTCCGCGGGTTGCCTGATGATTAATTCCATCCCACTTCTGCTCATCTAAAAATAGTAAAAACCCTACAAAATATATAGAAAAGTGTGTGTCTGTGTCGGTGTTATTGGTGGTGTTGGTGGTTGGTTGGTGGTCGACTCTCTGCTGGGAATATGATACTAATCAATTTGCGATGTCCCTTGACGAGGAGGAGGATGAAGCCCCTAAAACAGTGGTAAGGGCGGTGGACGGAGGACAAGAGTTTGATGATGATGATGATGATAGTCGTGATCGAGGATTGAAAGGAATTTGGAGATACATGCCGTTTAAATTGATCTGGAGGAAGGTTTAGTTTGGAATAATATTCAATTGTTTTTATAATGAGATACATGAATTTGCAATATACTAACAAAATGCAGTTTGTATTTGGGTGTTATTTTAGTTATACAGAGTTGCTGTAGGGCTTTATAACCTTTGAAAATAAAAAAGTGCATTTAATTTTGTATGAATTCTTCAAATACACTATTCATGTAAATCGAGTAGTTTAAAAGTTACAAAAGATGTAATAAAAAAATGCACATTAACGAGTCTCCTATGATGTTTGTCCTCTAAAGACTCCTAAACTACTGAACCAATTTTAAATTTTATTTACTCAACGTGTACGTATATATCCAACTTAGGTTATAGGCTATATAAGAAATTTTAGCTTATTTTTTTTTTATTAAAATATAACAAATTTTAATAAATTTTAACAGATGTTAACTAGGAGGTAAATTGATTTATCAATTTTTGTATATATTGGGTGTCATGATGTTTGTCCCATTAAGACTCCTAAACTACTGAACCGATTTTAAAAATTGTTAGCTCACCGTGTACGTATATAACCAACTTAGGTTATAGGTTATAATAAAAATCTCAGTTCACTTTTTAATTATCAAAATCCAACAAATTTTAATAAATTTTGACTTATGAATTTCGAAAAAAAACCAACACTATGAAATGACAGTTGTTAACTAGGAGGTAAATTTATATGTCGATTTTTGTATATATTGGGTGTCATGCTGTTTGTCGTCTAAAGACTCCTAAACTACTGAACCGATTTTAATTTTTTTTAGTTCACCTTGTACATATATATTTAACTTAAGTTATAGGCTATATTAAAAATTTCTAATTATTGAAAAATTGAAAAAATTTTAATTATTGAAATATAACAAATTTAAATAAATTTTGACAGTTATATATTTCAGAAAAAAACAAAACACTATGAAATGACACTTGTTAATGTTTCTGGAACCTACACATGTTTTTTTTTATTATAGTTATTATTATTGTGTACGTTTCGACACCAAATACGTGTCATCATACAGCAAAAAGAAAATAAGATATATTTATTTCAAAAATAAAATATTTTTGTGTTTTTGTATAAAAATATCAAAGTAAATCAATTATACTGTTCAATCAATCAATTATACTAAAGAAATGAAATTTAAATTATAAAAAAAACTCTACTGAACTAACTCCAGAATTTAAAAAAAAGGACCAACAATGAATAAATAACATGTAGGATTAGAAATGAAACAGAGAACTCTATTAACGAGCAAACTGAGTCTCAAAAAATTTTTAGAGTACAAAAGAAAAAACAGTCAAAAGTCCATGTCTCTGATCCCCACCGAACAATAAAATTAAATATTATTTCCAAATGTTTCTTTGAGTTATTTTCTGAGAAATAGATTTTTTAAATGCTTAATATTCAAAATAATTTATATCAGGATGTAATTTATATTTTGTTATTGAATATCAAAGTTTTGTTCTTATTTTAATAAATATTTATCTATTTATTTTCAGATATCGTCAAACTAGGTTCTCATCCAGGAGAGTAAGGAAAAGGGTTGTTTTCAAACACGGAGACTGCAATGTTGTCCAAGGTAAAAATTTAATAATATTAATAATATTTAATCTATAATATTTGTATTAGATGAACAAATTTAATTTACCCTAATTTTGTCTTTAGTTTATTTTTATACATACTTTTCACCAAAAGTTTATGGATTCAATTTACTATCCCATTCAGATAATATTTTGGTAACTTTCGTTTGTCTCTAATTACTCGTTTATTGTCTCTAATGACACTCTCTATTTATATGTCACTATTTGTCTCACAATATATAATTTATTCACACCATATATTACATGGACTGCTAGTCGAGCGCAAAATAGAACGTACTGTGACGTCACATGTTTGAGCAACCATTGCCGACGATAGTCGCGGACTCTTCCGATTGATTGAATGACATATTTTATAGGTTTTATTTTAATGATATAATCGCAATTGTGATAGCTGATAATTTTGTAAGAAATGATATTAGTAGTTTTTCCCTGTGAAATAAATGTCCATAAAATCGAATACACCTGTTGAAACCGGATTGTATATTATTAGGCCAATGTTAAAATATGGCATGTGACATTTGATCAATCGGGAGAGTCCGCGATTGTCGTCAGCAATGTTCGCTCAGACATGTGACGTCACTTTGTATGTTTGAGCACTATATACAACGGAAAACATATGAGGACTAGCAGTTCATGTAGTGTAATGTTTATGTATAAGGTTGTCAAATATCTCCCTTCCGCCTTTTTGTATTATAAACCAAGAGCAAAAAAGCGGAAGGGAGATATTTGACAACCTAATATTTACATCAACAATTTCTTTTTGTTTAATTTTTTTTCTTCTTTTTATAAATTTCAAAATGTTCATGAAATAATAGACAAATTCACAATAACTACCACTATTTTATTTTTTTTATTCAGGAAATGTCGCCAAACGCAGAAGACGTTACCTTCAAGACATCTTTACAACTCTGGTGGACGCCCAATGGCGCTGGACGCTCATGGTTTTCGCCCTGAATTTCCTTTTGTCCTGGTTAGGATTTGCTGTAATCTGGTGGTTTATAGCCTACATGCACGGAGATTTCGACCATCCACCATTGACAGATTTAAGTGCCTTGGATAACAGAAACTCCACCTTACACATACCTTGTGTAACCAACACCAGAAGTTTTACTTCTTGTTTTCTGTTTAGCATTGAAACCCAACACACCATAGGTGAGATAATAGACTCATGGTAAATAAAAAAACAACTTATTAACTTCCCGAAAGAGAAGTTTATGTTTTCATCAAAAAATCCGATTCGCTAATTTTATGTTTTCTCGACGTTTCAAGCCATTATGATTCGAATGAGACCAAATTTGGAAAAAGTATGTGTGTGTGTGTGTGTGTGTGTGAACACTTTTTTTGCCGTAAATCGACGTTTTCTCGAAAACGGCTGGGTCGATTTCAAAAATTTAAAAGCCATTCGATGTATCTCGACGAGAACTATTGTTTGTCAGTTTTGTGCGACGATCGGCCAAGCCGTTTCTTTATAAATCGCAAAAAAGTGAAAAATTTTTCGTCTACGTTTTAGCCCGCAATTCTGAATCGATTTTGAAAATTCAAAAACCGTTCGAAAGATATTGGTTGGGAATCGTGCTGATTAGTTTTTAGTAGAGATCGGCCGGGCCGTTTTCTTGTAATAAAGTTTAAAAAAAAAATTTCGACGATTTTTATTATTATTTTTTTGATGGTAGATACCATAGTCTTCTAGATCATACTAAAATATTACGGCCCTACGACAACTGGTTCAGCTTTAAAAATTCGTCAAAGTTTGCAAAAATTGGTATCGTTTTTTTGGCATTTGTCAAAATTAGACTTTTGATCGACGTTTTCTCAAAAACGCCTGAACCGATTTTAGAAATTTAAAAGCCATTTGATGTATTTCGGTGAGGACTATCGTTTGTCAGTTTTGTGCGCCGATCTGCCAAGCCGTTTCTTTGCAATTTGAAAAAAAGTGTTAAACTTTTCGTCCACATTTAAGCTCATCCTACCGAACCGATTTTAAAATATCAAAAACTGTTTGAAAGATATTAGTTGGGAATGGCACTGATTAATTTTAGGTGAAAATCTACCGAGCTGTTTTCTTGTAATGAACTATTGAAAAAAAAAATTCAAGCCGATTTTTATGGAACTTTTTTTGGCGATATACATCATGGTCTTATAGAACATTCTGTAATATTACGGCCTTACGACAAGTAGTTTAATTTTAAAAATTTGTCAAACTTTGCTAAAATTATTAAGGTTTTTTCTTTAAGTAGGTTGATGGAGTATCTTATTTACACATTTTTTTTATTTAGTCGATTATTTACACATATCGAAAAGTTCATGTAACTTGCCTCAAGGCTGAATACCAAACCAACTAGTCTGAATTTTTTCTCAGGTTATGGTGGTCGTACGACTACTGAAGAATGTCCAGAAGCAATCTTAATAATGTGCCTTCAGTCGATCGTAGGAGTTTTTATACAAGCTTTCATGGTCGGCATAGTTTTTGCCAAGTTGTCCAGGCCTAAAAAACGAGCACAAACTTTGTTGTTTTCCAGAAATGCTGTCATTTGCCATCGAGATGGTGTTCCTTGCCTAATGTTCAGGGGTTGGTGACATGAGGAAAAGTCATATTATTGAGGCACATGTCAGGGCACAAATTATCAGGAAAAAGGTAAACAGATGGTAAAAGACTTATGCCAAAGGGTGCAGTCTTTTCTATAACTTGCAAGAAGTTTTTAACTTCCCGTAGGGTAGTTATAGTAATGGGCCAAAAATCGAAAATGAAAATTTTTTGCATTTCTCGACGTTTTGAAGGTTTCTGAACATTTTGGCATACCTCAGAAAAAATGGATGCGTGTGTGTATGTGTATATAACTATACATATATCTGTATATATCTTTCATATTCTTTAGGATTTAATAGAAATTTCGGGACATTTTTTTGGTTTTTGTCAAATAACTCACAAATATCAGGGGAAAGCACCCCTTTTCAGTTAGATAGGGAAAAACTAGATAAAATTTACTACGATTCCATGCCAACAGTTATATACACCCCGATATAAAAGTTTGGAATAAAACAACTTTGAATTCGATTTTTCATATTCTTTAGAATTTAATAGAATTTTCGGGACATTTTTTGGTTTTTGTCAAATTACTCACAAATATCATGGAAAAGCACCCTTTTTTCTGAGGTATGCCAAAATATTCAAAAACCTTCAAAACGTCGAGAAATGCAAAAAAATTCAATTTCGATTCAATTTCGGAAGTTAAAAATGAACCAGACTAAGCACAGTCTAAGCGCCACTCTGGTACAAATGTTTACCCAAGTGCGTTTAGACTGTATTTGTACTGGAGCACTTTTCCAATTCTGTGAAAACTATTGAAAAATGTGAAAATGCCGCCAAGCTAACCATAGTATAAGTGAAAATGTCGCACAGAATTATTTGCAAGTGCGTTTAGACTGTGACCATACCGGAGCACTTATTCAATTTTGTGCAAAAATTAGGCAACTATTTTTTTTAAATTGAATTCGAAATGAAACGACGATTATTAATGTAATAATTGATTTATGATTTACATTTAATTTGCTCAGATATAACGAGATAGCAAAAATAATGAAAGTTACAGTATTTGTTGTAATAATATATTTGAAAACGTTTAAAATTTCTCGAATATTTCATTACGACACGGAAAGTTCCAGCAATTTGCTTTAAGGCACGATGCCATACACCACTAGTTTCTTTATTCCAACACTTTATTCCAAGAATTTATCATTTTTTAATAAAATGTCTATATAAATTCAGTTTATACATCCGAGAAGTGTATCCAAACTTTGGAAGCAAATTTTTAATGATTTTTGTTCCGGCACATATATAATATTATACACCATTTTGTTTTAAATTTAATAACCAATTTTTTTCTAATATTTATTCATTAACATACACTTTCTTCCAAGAAATTATCATTTTTCAAAAAAATATCTTTATATACTCAGTTTATATATCTGAGAAGTGTAATTAAACTTTGGAGCCAGATTTTTAATAATTTTAATTTCGGCACATGTATAATATTATACACCATTTTGTTTTAAATTTAATAACCAATTTTTTTCTAATATTTATTCAATAACATACATTTTCTTCCAAGGATTTATCATTTTTCAAAGAAATATCTTTATATACTCAGTTTATATATCTGAGAAGTGTAATTAAACTTTGGAAGCAAGTTTTTAATAATTTTAATTTTGGCACATATATAATATTATACACCATTTTGTTTTAAATTTAATAACCAATTTTTATCTAATATTTATTCATTACCATTTCATACACTTTCTTCCAACAATTCGTCATTTTTTTTTTTAAAAATGTCTATATAAATTCAGTTTATACATCCGAGAAGTGTAACCAAACTTGGAAGCAAGTTTTTAATGATTTTTGTTCCGGCATATTATATATATATATATATATATATATATATAATTATACATCATTTTGTTCAAAATTCAATAACCAATTTTTGTATGATACTTACTTGTTAAAGTTTCATACATTTTATTGTAAAAATTCATCATTTTTCAAAAAAATGTCTTTAAAAATGCAGTTTATTCATCCGAGAAGCGTAACCAAACTTTGAAGCCAAATTTTAATAAATTTTGATCCCGACATATATAGGGTCCGCCAAATAACATTTTTTTAGGAGGTACGACTTGAACAACCCTACTGTGTACTCTGCACTCTTTACATTTCACTTTCAAATAAAAAAAAAAAAAAATATTTGTGGTTTTTTAATAGAATTTTCAAACAAAAAGAAAATTGGCAAAATATTCAGTAGATTTTTTAAGAAATTTTTCAAAAAAAAAGCTAGTTGGCGGACCCTATATATAATATTATACATCAATTTATTCTAAATTTAATTACCAAATTGCCAAGATGCCATACACCACTAGTTTTTTTTACCAAGTTACCATTATTACCTTTACCCAGGTGACCAAAGAAGGTGAAGTCCTGTCTTTCTACCAGCAGGAACTGGTAGTAGAAGCTGATGGAACCGAAGACAGACTTATGTTTATTTGGCCAACTACAGTTTCCCATCCAATTGATAGAAATTCACCCCTCTATGCCCTAGTGCCAACGACATGATGAGGGAAAGATTCGAAATTGTCGTCATGTTGGGTAAGAAAAAAATCAGATAAATAGACCAATGGATACATAGATATATAAATAGATAGATAATAGGTTGTCAAATATCTCCCTTCCGCCTTTTTGTATTATAAACCAAGAGCAAAAAAGCGGAAGGGAGATATTTGACAACCTAATACATAGATAGATGAAGATTTTTTTTCTCTTTATTGAATTACAATCTGTCTTTACAAAAAGGAAGACATTCAGTAATTTTGATGATATATGAAATATTAAACATTAGGTCTAAAAGGTTACCCAGTAATAAGCCTTTTCGATTTTGATATATTGAATTTAAATATTGTGATTATATAGAGTAAGATAGATGAAGATGTTTAGTAAAAATTAGATAAATAGACCAATAGATATAGATAGATAAATAGATAGATAATAGGTTGTCAAATATCTCCCTTACGCCTTTTTGTATTATAAACCAAGAGCAAAAAAGCGGAAGGGAGATATTTGACAACCTAATACATAGATAGATGAAGATTTTTTTTCTCTTTATTGAATTACAATCTGTCTTTACAAAAAGGAAGACATTCAGTAATTTTGATGATATATGAAATATTAAACATTAGGTCTAAAAGGTTACCCAGTAATAAGCCTTTTCGATTTTGATATATTGAATTTAAATATTGTGATTATATAGAGTAAGATAGATGAAGATGTTTAGTAGTATTTAGGTTGTTTGTTTACAATGAACTAATTTTTTTCTGGTCTCAGAGGGTGTCGTAGAGTCAACTGGAATGACAACCCAGGCCAGGAGCAGTTATTTGCCTGCAGAAATTTTGTGGGGACGAAGATTTGAATCTATGGTTAAATTTAGGAGAGAAACCAGTGAATATGAGGTAAATCATAAACATTATTTTTTTTTAAGTAAAACTTCTTTAAGAACGACTTCTTCACGGTGTAGTTCTACTACAAAAAAAAATTATAATAGAACTGTTTGTTACACCTGACTTCCTGAAATTTTGAATCGTCATTGATAAATGATGTCCTAAAACTAATATCTTTTAGGTAAAGTTCACATACAGATTTTCATTAGTTATTTCACGACTTTAAAATTATTTCGATACAGATTCTCATTAGATATTTCACGACTTCAAAATTATTTCTGCATTTTCTTAGGTCTTAAAATGTTAGGAAATAATTTCTATGTACTTTGATTTTGCTAGATTTTTTCTAGTTATACCAAACTTTATATTTTATATCGATTTTAGGTCGATTATACCCTTTTCAACAACACTTACGAAGTCGATACTCCTTTGTGTAGTGCTAAGCAACTAGACGAAGCCAAATCGGCCTTAGACACGCCGAATGGAACCGGTAAGTTTGAAAATTAATTAAAAATATTTATAAAACAAGTTTATAACAAAATTTTTGATAAACCAATTTTGTAGAGTGTATATTTTGACATGCATTCATTAGTTTTGACTTATTTAATAGTTAAAGTGTAATAAAGTCCATCGAAATTCAGTTGTACCCTATTAGGTTTTTTGTTACAAAACTTGTGATGTGTTTAGTTTTTTTTTTAAATATTGTTTGTTTTGGACTATATGCTTTATTGTATATCATTTTATAGCAAATTTTATCAGCTCTAGAATTCCTAAAAATTAATTTTTTTAACTTCGTTTACTACCGTCAAAATAGTCTACTTTCGTGAATATTACACAAAAGTTTTTCTCGATTTGGTTCAAAGTTTGCGTGCTAAATTTTGGCTTGTTTTTGTCCTACAATGTATAAATTGATATATACAATTTTATTTATAATTTAATAAACAATAAAATGCATTTATTTGTTTATATACTTCCCATGCAAAATTTCTGAAATTTATAACTTTTCATAGTAGGTAGAACAGTTGGAGCCACATTTCTATCAAATCTAGTTCTGGGACATATATATTATTATATACAGTTTTATTACAAATTTAATAAAAAATGGGTTTTTAGTGTTAAATTATCAATTTCCCATACATTTCATGGCAACAATTCATCATTCTGCTAAAAACTGTCTTTATAAATGCAATTTATTTATTCGAGAACTATAAGCAAAGTTTGAAGCTAAAATTTTATTAAATTTAATTCCGGAACATATATATTAAATTATCAAGCTCTCATACACTTTTTGGCAACAATTCATCATTTTGCTAAAAAAATGTCTATATATATGCGTCTATAAAACTATAACTAAACTTTGGAGCCAAATTTCTACTAAATTTAATTCTAGTACATATGTATTATACAAAATTTTACTGCAAATTTAATAAACAATTGAACTCTGGCATTTTTTAAATATAGTTCATATACTTTTTTCTACATATTATCACTTTTCTACAAACTACTTACTTGTTCAAGAAGTATAACCAATCTTTGGGACTTAATTTCTAACAATTTTCATTCTAGAATATATATTAAATTATATATCATTATTTTAGAAATTAAATAGTAAATTCCTATATTTTAATTTTTCATTAACGTTTCATGCACGCACTTTATACCAAAATTTCAGTGGATTTTAAAAAAAAATGTACTACGAAAAATACCAAATTGTAAAGGTATTTAAAAAGATTTTTCCTGATTTTTTTTTCTATATAATTTTATATATCATTAAATTAAAAACTCAATACACAACTGCATTCTACTATTTATTTATAAACATTTGAACAAACTATTTTTAAATTACATAACGTTTCAAAAAATTGTCCAAGAGGGTAACAAAACTTTAGACCTAAAATTCTAATAAAAGTCCTCCCATAATATATATTATATTGTACACAATTTTTTCGTAAATTTATTCAAAAATAACATACAATAATTTAATCATTTTATTTATTTATCATAAACACTTCATACAATTTTTTTTGATAATTTATATTGTTAAAAAAAATCCTGTCTAGAGCTAAGATTATTTTTTATTTATTTTATTCCTTCAAGATTAAGAGACGCAAGTCTTAAAAAAATTCTAAGAATTCAAACAAACATTTTCTAGAATCAAAACAACTTAAATATTTTGAATTCGTTTGTTATCAAATAAGATAACATAAATAAATTGTAGTCTAGAAAA